ACAGTAAGACCTTGTGGGAAAGAGGGGCCTGGCTGCGGCTTCTAGCATGTGTTATAATAGCACTAGAAACAATTACTGGCAAGACATTTCTCAGAACATGCAAAGATTTTTGTTCCTTTCACTTACGATAATGTGTGATACTTGGGCTTCTGATTTGGCAGTACCAACAATATAGCTCAAGACTATTCTGTCTGCAGGATGGACAAGTACAGGTGATGATCAAGGCAGCTGAGGAAGGCAGATGCAGAAAATTAGCTTGAAAGCCCAAGAGCAGCCTTCTGCAATTAATGTGGGCATGGGCAGCCAACAAGGAGGTGGCAGTGACGGGAATTCGGAATGACTTGAGGGAGTGCAGGACGTGGCTGAGGTTGGTTGCAGCTCTCAGAGAACAAAGGTTAAAAAAGATGAAGGAGCTGATCCTTTTAAAATAAAAGCACGTAAGAAAAGGGGTGTGCAACTCTTCCCTCAAATTCTCACTTCAAATCAGCACCCAAATCTTGGTCCCTTCTGCTGTATTACATTGTAATGAATAGTTTATATTTTAAGAGTAGCTTTACAAAGAAGAGCTGGAAACTGTCTTGCACTGCTAGCGCTCAGCCCTTCTTGTTCATACAATCTGGGGAGTCTGAGCAGTTGTGCGTTATGCCTTCTCAAGCTTTTCAGTCTTCTCTAAACCTTTTTTAAGAGAATCCCAGCCAGTTTTCTCCTTTTTATGTCTGTCTCTCTGCAAATTTTCACATCTTCTTCCAGCCAAATGTGCAAGTATATAATCCACCAGAACATTTTTGATCTAGTCAGAAATCAGTGGTTTTAGTTATTTTCACTAGACTTGCTGCACTGTGGATAACCAAGTTCAGGTATTTCTCTGAATGGGGAGTCATCAACATCTGAGGCCAAATTTCCTGATATGTTCAGATTTACTCAATATTCAGTTGCAAGATGGGGCCAAGAATTTTGTAATGCTGCCTGGCTGGATCCTAGGTCTGCCATGGGCTGCTGCTCCAGGTGCAAGGACATCAACCCTGGGAAAAGGGTGCACACCCTTCCTGTGGTATCTTTGCAGCTGGGCAGAGTAGTTGTACAGTCAGAGAGGAATTGAAAGGCTTTGTCAAAATCCGTAGCACATTTTCCTTACTATAGCCATGCTTCATTAATCAAGATGAGAAACAGCCTTTAAGAAAAGAGCTTCATTTCCTGTGTGGCAGGCTACTGTATAATAGGGTGCCTCAGGGTAGAATATCAGAATTTTTCATCAGTGTGTCATGTACTAAAGCAAGCATTTTTCCCTGTACATGGGCCACTGACATAAGAAAGAAGAGTATAAAAGCATGAAATCATAGTACAAAAGATGATCAAAGGGACAGCATTGGCCTGTGACCGAGGCCGTGGTTTTAAGGTTATTTTAATCCAGCGTAACGTATCTAGCAGCTGGAAGAGGTAATTCACCTTCCTGTGGTATCTCCCTTCAGCACTAGCATTTGTATGGCCAGGCAATAAGCTGAAGTTACTGAGAACTAAATGTATTGGGTGAAGTTTCAGCCAGACGGGTTCCTGAGGTAGCTCTCCTAACACTGCCAGCGACACAAAGGAGGCCACAGCAAAACACACCAGAAGTGGGGAGGCATGGGGGTAGGGGAGAAAGTGGCGGCAGGTCTGCACTTTTCCATGGCAAACATGGATTTATATTAAATAACAGTGACATTAAGTTGTGAGGTCAGGAAACCTCAGTTTGTTTCAGCCACAGATTTACTGGATGAGTTCAAAGAACTTGCTAAATCTTCTCTTGTTTCTAAGTTCCCCACTTAAAATCAAGGGATGTATGTCTGCCTAACAGGGTAGTTGTGATTATTTAATTTGTTAGGTGAGGGTCATATAAAATACATTGATATAAACTAAAATACACAGAATGGGTTTTGCCCATTTCCTTTAATTTTTGAAAACAAGTAAGTAGACGAAATCTTGTGCCCTTCAAAACCAAACAGAATCTTTCTTTCTGTAAAATGTTACATAAACCTCAGTGGTTGTTCATTTTTATTGTAATATTTTTAATAGTACTGCAGATATTTCAGAAAAGGGCAATATTGTTTCTACCACGTAAAAAAATCATCATGATATAGTTGTTTTTTGCATTTTCCCCTTCATATTGTTTCAAAAAAACCCCAAAACCCCAAAACAAAACACAAATAGAGATAGGAAATTTACACTCCCACATCCCTCCCCACAAAAGAAAAATATTTTTTTAAAAATCAGTAAAGTGTTAAACAAGCCAGGTATTAAACACACACATTTACAAGCACAGCACATTAGTAATACTGTATAATACTTTAGACCATGCCAAACCATATGTATGTGTATAAAGCTACGGGTGAAATGGTTCATAGCAGCAGAATAGGAAGCATGTTCCATACAAAGTACATAGTTCCTGTGGAGATATTTGGATGAGTACACCAGTTCAAAGTACATTGACAAGCTAAAATGCACAAGTAAATTTTTTCTGCTACAGCAGTGTGTGTTATGATTCAGAGGGCAATCTTGACTTGTCTGGGATTTCCATTTTCTGTCTAAAGGATGGCCAGTTGAGTGGTGTTCCACCTCTTGGCACACTTTACCGTAAACTTCATGAGGAGTCCTGATTGCTGAAGATAAAACTTCATTGAAATCAAGGCCAAGTGTAACCTAGCAGTGCAGCTACATTTGCACATTCTTCACTGATAAGAAAACGTGTTGACGTTTTCTCTGGGAGGGAACATGATCCATCCCAAGGCCCACATGTGGCTTTGGGGCCTTAGTTCTGCAACTCTGGTGGGTAGAGAGAAAGACCAGAAAGGGACACTGGGTTAGAAATATTTATGACTCATTAGAACTTCCAAAAATGTTCAGGTTTTGGAGTGGGCATTTTTTCAATGTCAATATGTAGCTTTCAGTTGCTTCGTTGTATTTTCCGTAGCCATATAACTCAATCTGTGGTTTCAATTCTGGGAGCATTTCTCTTCCGGAGGTATCATTTTCCAATGGGACTGTGATTTTCATTGGTAACCTCCAGTTCTGGATGCCAAGCTGAAGACTCCCTCTGAGGGAGGCCAGCATTCACAAGATGATGGTTCTGTACCTTCATAAAGGCAGGCTCCTTCAAAATGTCCTTTCCTAAGCACCTAACAATGGAGATATGCAAAGGCAAGCAGGACTTTAAATATTTAAAGTAGAATTGTGGTAGGGAAGTTCGCTCTTAGACTTCCACCTTACCACACGAAAAATACAAATAAGATGAAGTAAAATTATACAGATCTATTAGATTTAATGATGTGACTTGAGACAAAGTGATTCTATGAAAATGCTTTCTTAGGAGGTAACCGTAAAATCTCAAAGAATGCTGACTACATGTACAGTTCTATGTAACATTAAGATATACTTAGTGACTTCTAGTGAAATGTTTTCCTCTGTAGAAGACCAGCAGCCACTTCTGTTTCTAATAACTCCAGATGCTGGTATCTGAGCTTTGGCAATTCTGAATTGCAGAGAAGACAGCAGATTTTATGACATTTCTTCTGAGCTGTCTTAGGCTGTTGCTTGTCTCTCCCCATCAAATACTGTGCACTGTAGTACAGTATTCCTCCACAGGTTTCTCATACAACCATTAAATAAAAAAACAGGACAAGAAAAAAAAAAAATTGCCCAGAACAGGCCCAGAATAGGGTTTGGAATATTGGTAGAAAAAAAAAAAACCCAAACCAAAACCCAAGAGATACTGGGACTAGCATTTGCATACCTCATGGTAACAACCATCCATCAGTTGGATTCACATACAAAATCTGTTTTAAATCAGAGGGAGTCAGTTCATACAACTGATAGAATAAAAAGGCCTGATATCACAAATCCAATACTGTTCCTTTTGTAAAACAGAGAAGTCACAACATCCCTGTCTTAATTCCTTCATTTGCACCGTATATAAATTACCTACTGGAACTCTTGTAGAGATTAATCTCCCCAGGGAAGGGTGGATTCCCCAACATTGGATGCCTTTAAGATTCGGCTGGACAGGGTGCTGGGCCATCTTGTCTAGACCATGCTTTTGCCAAGAAAGGTTGGACCAGACGATCCTTGAGGTCCCTTCCAACCTGGTATTCTATGCTTCTATGATCAAGGACCAATTACTCTAGCCTTCCATATAAGCTCCTATTCTGACTTCAGTGCAACCCTCGACACCATTCAGGGTAGAGCAATCAGGACCTAATCTGAGAGTATCTAGAAAGTACTTGAAGATGAGAAAAGCTATATAGTGCTACACATTGTCATTACAGGATCCTTGATTTCTTTTGAGGGGAGTGAATAGATGTACAGACAGACCGGCAAACGGATAAAGAGACAGACAGAGAGACCAAGGTATGCAGAGCTCTAAACCTGCTCTTTTTTCCCTCAGAACATCTCCACATATATAAAGTAACCTTGATCTCCTGTTGTACAAGCATAGACAAACACATTTCACTTCAGGGGATGGGAAGTGTCAACCAAAATGAAGTACTGGCCACCCAGACACTAAAGAAAATGAAAAAGCTTTAGAGGTCTCCTGAAGCAGTACACATCATTGTAGAGACCATTAACTTACAAGAGCAGCAAAATTCATAGCTCGTAAGAAATATTCTCTATCCATCTCCAGAAAAACAGTGACTCAGAAGTGGGCCCATTCCACCACATTTTTAGACCTGTTGAAGCAAATGGAGGGTGGAGGGAAGGCGGTAAGAGCAGCTGAGGTGGTGCTTCCTGTCGGCTTCACAAAACTTGCCCTGAAAGAAGAGCTTTGTTAGGTGCAAAACTCAGTCTTGCAGCTGCCCTGGCCTAGGGAAAGGCTGGATCGCACACAGCCTGCTGCAAAAGCCACTGGCCCCAGTTGGAAAGGCTCCCTCTGATTTCAATGGACTCTGGATACAGCCCGCATTTAGAGAGCAATACGCAACAGCAGTTACAAGTCATTCCCCCATCCCCTCACAATTTCTTCCAATATAAACAAAAGGACATGCTGGTCCCCTTTATATACATACATTAAAAGCTGAAATGGTCTGAAATGCTTACAGATTAGAATGCATGTATCTATACAACATTACACCTGCCAGAAATCAAAGTAGAAAAGTTTTACAGCACATTATACAGGTCCCTCTAACTTCTAAAAAAACATTTACTGAAATCACCACATTACAAGAAGTCATCACTAACATACCATATAATACTATTTCTTTTTCTTTTACACAATCATTACTTATATAGTAATTTAAAAAATCACTTTTAAACAAGTATACAATTTTCACTTTAAAATTAACTGGTTAATAAAATTTTGTGCAAAACAAGCCAGCCTCTATAATTAAGTGAATTTATTTATTTATTTATACAAAAAAATAAAACAAAAAAGATAGTTCTTTCAGAAATGTGTCTCCTTTTCTGTAATGGTTGAAATGGTGCCATCTCCTTTCAGTTTGGCATCGCAGTCATTTATTGCTGCAATGTAGGCTCCTCCTCCAAGTTTCCCTCTCATTTTCAGATCCGAGCTAGGTGTAATCAACTTCCTGAATTTCTAGAAAAGTTGAGAAAATGGAAATCATTATCTTTTTCTTGGTCACAGACACACATTTCTTAAATAGATTGACTATATAAACCTCTTCTCTTGCATGTCTGCTTCTCATTTCCCTGTTATAGATACATCCATAAAACTGCACGCCACACAGTTCTTTACAAATCACACCAGACCAAAGGCTAGAGAACGAAGGCAAAGACAAAGTCAAAGTGAATTTTCATGCTGATTTAGAGTTACATTCCCTTCCATGAAGAAATTCAGCACAATGCCCTGGGTAAGGCCTGTTATATGGGTACATTTTGTTTCTCATGGTATAGTCAAAGGATATATACTGAAAAAAATAAATAAACAAGAGACTGCCAAAGTGTATTAAGCTACAATAAAGAACAAAAGAAAAATATACGTGTTCAGCTGAGAACTTTCTCTTTTATAGCAGTAACATCAGTGGCAACATTGCTGCTTACAGCTTGGAGAGCAGAGATGTTGCAGGAAGTTGGCTTCCTGAGAAGCTCCCAACTGTAATTAAAAAAACCCTCTCATCGTTCATGTACAGAAAAGATAATGACCTGCAATGCTTCAGCCTACAAGGGCAATGCAAAACAAGATTCTATACACAAAGTCTATTTACTTGCAGAGATAGGGTAAGGTTGATGCATTAAGGAAATAGTTAATGTTAAGATTTGTGCAAAACTTCCTCTTTTGACATGCTAAGAAAACTATATTATAGACAATTCATTTTTTGTTTATATACCCACAGTAAAGATTTCCTAGGTAGCCTCCAGGCCATATTTAATCGGCTTAATGGAGTCATTTCAATATGGACTGCTGTCAGCCAGCACAATAAATTTTATGTTAGCTTCTCCATTCAAGAAAGCAGTAACTATTACTTTGAGATATACTCAGATATATTCAGGCGTCATACCCTTTGGTTCTGAATAGAGGATAATTTTGAAAGTGTGGGTATACACTGAGAGATCTTTCAAAAGTGCTAGATAAGTTAATGAGCCCCAGGTACCCTAGACACAGAAATTCCTACTGTCTTGTTCTTCACATTGGCATTATCCTAGAGAATATCAGAAAGACTGAGAAAGCATGAAAGGGTCTGAATAAAGTCCCCTCCATATATGTATTGAGATGGAAGGAGGCAATACTGGGATACCTACTTTTACTGACTAGCATCTAATGAACTCCAGATGACAGAACCAGGCTTTTCTGGAATATGAGAAATCCCAAGCAGCTGAATGAGATTTATATTCTTGTTTCTTCCATTATAGCCATCTTCACTGTCTTTCTTTGGAAAAAAGGTCTTATATTTAATAACCTTAACCTCAGCCTAGACTGAGATAACCTGATACAAATGTTAGTAAATTGCACTGAATATTTCTTTTTGCCTCTATTTCTCACTTAGAGAACTGTAATGAGGAAAACTGTCCAGAAGACATATGTGAGTGTTTGCTACCCAGCTCCTGGAGGAAAATCCTGGCAGCACAAACGTTAGGCACCAAAACCATGGAAAGAAGGCGGCTGACCTGAATGAATGGCTGGTACAAACCTTCTTGAGGGATTTAGCTGATGTTACAGACATTTTAAGCTATAAATTGAGCAGGAACAGAGCACCTTAAAGCTGTAGTATTGGTTAGTTTACCATAGGCTGAAGTCAGTGAAGGCAAAAAAAAAAAGAAATTCAGAAGAAGTTTTGCCCAGGGAAGTGGTTGAGTCACCATCCCTGGAGGTATTTAAAAGACGCATAGATGTGGTGCTTAGGGTCATGGACTTGGCAGTGTTAGGTTTACAGATGGACTCGATGTTCTCAAAGGTCTTTTCCAACCTAAACGATTCTATGATTCTGTGATTCTAAGAAAATAGAGAAAATTCAGATGCCTCTTTCCACCAGTGACTGAGAGGCCTAATGCAAGCTGTCACTGGAACAGGTACATGGCGTTGCTTTTTTGATTAAACTGTGCTTAGTCTCATGCAGGTGAGGATTCACACTCCCTTCCCACTTCTTTTTTCAGTATCATTAATCTTACCTCTATGAAAGTGCCTTCTGTCTTCCACAGCTTAATGCAGATCCACAAAGGGATACAGATCATGGAAGAGAGCGCCATCATCCACCCTATGCCATAGCCCCAGTCAGGGTATATATATACATTGTTGTATTTCAAAGGCTTGTATTTCACCAGGAAAAAGATGAAGATTCCCTGAAATAAGCAGAGAAACATATTAGAGTTTTTGAAAAAACACTGCCTATGTAACAAGAAGATGATTGACTGTTTTGGCAAGGCCAGTCTCCCTAAAGATGGAAAGTAGAGGCAAGCTTTTCAGTCAGAGGAAAAAAAAAAACAGCAATATCTATATACAGCTTAAATAACATGTCTCCTCAGTACCTTCCACAGAAATGAACAACCTTTCAAGTTTAAATCCTGTTTACCTCCCCATGACATAAAACCTGCACTTTGATGGCAAACAGTACCTGGGCAGGAAAGATTAAGTTTTGCTACTGTGAACCAGCTGTGATGAAGTAACACAAGCTGCGTTCTCTCCAACCTGTCATGACGAAAAAGGAAAGCCAAAATTTTCAAAGTAGCCTTAATCCACTGTCTGTATCTGCAGTTCTGCAGGCCAACTCTTTCATCCTCACAAAAGCTCAAATATATCTGTCTAAATTTGACAGGTGTCTAATCAAGCAGTTTGGACCATTTAAATTTATGAAATATAGAAAAGTTACTATGTACTTTTCTCCAAAGTGGTGAAAAGAGTGTACAAGAGCAAGTGATATTAAGTTCATTTCAGAGTTGATGAAAATGAGTCAGAAATTTTCCCAAGTTTGCAAATGAACTGGCAGAGCTCAAGGGAACCTGGATCTCTAGGTGCCCCAGCATCTGTGGTTTTGCAGTTGCTGTCATTTACATATTGGAGAACTGGAAGATTTTAATATCTAATCCTCAAGCACTTGTGGATGAAATTTATGGGCAATCTGGTCATGCTCCTTTTGTAATTTTGTCCCTTTTATGTAGCCACAGCAGATTGCCAGAGTTGGCACCAATACTGCTAGCTTCTGGTAAGGCAAACTCCTTCCCCTTCTTCATGCATACGAGATGTGCTTTTGGCCTCTTCTACTACTTCTGCTAGAAAAAAAATGTCCTGTCTTCTTTGAAAAATATCTACTCACCCAAAGAGAGGGAAGGAAACAGGAGGCTGGAGCAGGAAGGAAACCAGCACAAGTCTAGAGGAGCTTGAGTTATGCTGGGTAGACACAAGGTATACTGGCGATGCAGTGAAAAAAAGCCTCCATTGTATTGGCAAATATTCTTTTAGGGACCTGGGTTTATTTTTTTCCTATTATTTCCTACACTAAGGTTTCTCACAATTCACAGAATATTTAACAATTTTTACAGATACTACAGAGTGTTTTTTAATTAAAACATATGCTACAAATCAATAGGCGTTTTTCTCAACCGTTGAGAACTATTAGCAGCAGCAAAATTCTAAAAATATGCACAGAAAACCCCTTTATGTCTAAAACAAGTTATTTGGATATTCTATACTTACTGCACAAATACCTGGAGTTAAGACCATCCAGCACCATTTAATCAATGACAGTGGTTTGTACCCAATCATGTCTTCAATGTTATCATAAAAGCGACTGCTGCCTGCCCAAAAAAACAAATGAAAAGCAGATGTAGAATGTACATGTAAGTGTATAGGTCAGTATTTAAAACAGTAAAGAGAAAAACATAGGTTCTGACAGAGCTGCAAAGACTGACGCTGCTATCTCTTTACTCTGTCATCTGCTCCATACTTGTGGCAGAGATTGCTGCCTACATCTGTATCTGACCAATATGAACAGCGAGTAGGAGTGGGCGAGCTGTCAAACAGAAATGGCTTCTGGTCAGTAACCGTCTGAGCAAGCCCAGTTAAAGAGCATATATATGCTACAAGCTCATGTGTGAATCCCTAGATAGCTGGGGACATGGGCGATCTGAAGTTCATATGATGATTTACAAAGTAAAATTGTCAGTCCTTTGTGAGCAAAAAATGCTTGAGGGTGTAACCATGAACATACCCACAACATACCCATGGTTTTCTCTTGACATTGCTGACAGACAGAAACAGCAGATCTAGGAACACGACTATGTCCCTTTTGTGTTAATGAGGCATGAGCGCCAACTTCCCTGGATTTATCTGTGAGTGTCAGAAGTGGAAGGGAACATGCCCTGCACAGATGCTTTGTGAGAGAAGAAAGACTTATTGCCACCCCTACTTTCTAAGGCAGCTAAAGACTTCCTTGGTGAAGGAAGGTGGAGGTCAGTCCTGACAAGGGCCAAGGGGAAAAAAAAAAAATCGATTCCACTATCTCTGTTATTTAGAGTGGAAAAAAAGGCATTCCAGTCTTTTGGCACGGCATGGGAATGTGGAGGGCCCCACTCCATAAGGGTACAAGGCTTTCACATTGCTTTTAAGCAAATAGAAAACTTCTATAAAAATTCAAAACCAAAGCAATTTTCAGCAACTCACCATAAACCCAGCCTATGCAGACACATTCAAATATGGCAACAAAAAGAAGGCACATGCCACTAGCTGCATAAGAGTCAAATAACTGAAAGACATACATCCCACCCTGAAAGACAAAAACAGAAAAAGGAAAAATAATATTGCGTTGGCACCAGTAGAAATATTTCATAGCAAATATGGCTTTAATTACACAGTCAATCTGTTGGTTCCCTGGCAATCTTCCTACTAAAGTTGGTTCCTTCTTGAACAAAGAATCTTCATTTCTCAGTGATTTGTTAATTGTGAAAGATTTTTTTCTTCCATAGCACTTAAGATTATTCCCTATGTCAGTTGAACACTGTGCATTTGCTTTAAAGTAGTAAACCCTGGAGTGGAGAGAACTATGTTTGACTTGTTTCCAAAACGATCTCCCACCTCCATGCTTTTTTTCAACTTCACTTGTTATTACACCAAGCTTTAGATAACTACAGGTGCTTTTGATCTACAGATCACTGCACATGAAGATGCAGGGTCTTTTTTTTGTGTCTGTGCTATTAATATGTAAAAGAATTAGTTAAAATGTGGGGAAAGGAGGCAAAATCTGTTAACTACTAGAATCACTCTGCAATGGCATAGGCACTGTAAAATGAGTAAACTGACCTACAAAGTTTGAATGTAGCTCACGCTACTTAAACGAGTCATTATTATTTGACAAAAAAAAGCGAAATAAGAATCACCCTGACTCCAAGCAAGCTTTTTAAAAATGTTTTCCTAACGAGTTAAAAATTGTTCTCCAAATGGCTTTAAAATAGCAACCTCTGCATTTCCAGAGAGGAAAGCAACCAAAACCAAGCAGTGTCCTAAATTAGCATGGCATCCATACACAATGCACACTATGATATCAATGACCTGTCATTTTCTGCATTCAGTGGTGCCACGATACCAACTAGTATGAAAAAGGTAAATGTGCTTAACTAAGACATCCTCACTTACTGTTTGACTATGACTCAACTATATCAATTGTCGCATCTATCAAAGACATAATTCTTTTCTTCTTTTCCTGTATTTTTTTTTCTTGCTTACAACAGTCAGAACTGTTCAGAGAACTGGCTGGCTTTCTAGAGCCTTTGCCTCGAGGCAAGATGAGAAGAAAACCTATGAAGTCCAATTAATAACATTATGGATAACCTGACTATTAAAATTATATGAATAATATTGCACTATTTTCTATGCAAGATACTTAATCTTTTATTACATATGCGTTCAATATTGAAATAATAATGAGGAGGAGATTCACAAAAGATCATTTCAATAGAAAGGAATCCTAAGACTTCCCTCTTTGCAGAAAGCTATGTGAAGGAAATAGGGGCTTGAGATCATCTCTTCAGCTGAAATGTAATGCTACTTGGTAGTACATATGATCCATTACATCTCAGACAATTTTCTGCAAATGGAAGAGAACCCTAAAAACATAAAGAAAACTAAATCAAAAACAATACCTAGGATTTCCCCCTTTTTTCCTCTGTATTAACTGACTGAAGGTAAGTTAAGATGGACTCTGTAAACTTGAAACCCTGTCTAAATCTTACGGAACATAAGAACGTTCTAAAGTTATTGCATATAAAACTGCATTGATGTCCAAGCAGGCATTTGGCAAAACTAGTGCTGTACAGTTAGGAAATGACCATACATCTGAATGAGAAAGTTTTCCTATAAGGTAAAATACCTTTTATGAATAATCCAAAGCCTGAATAAAATCCAGCAATGAGTATTTAGAAATGCAAGAGAGGGTAAGGACAGAGTTGGGATATACCTGGAGTACTGCATCCAGCTCTGGGGCCCCCAACATGAGAAGGATATGGACCTGTTGGACCAAGTCCAGAGGAGGGCCGTGAAGATGATCAGAGGGCTGGAGCACCTCTCCTATGAAGACAGGCTGAGAGAGCTGGGGTTGTTCAGCCTGGAGAAGAGAAGGCTCTGAAGAGACCTTATAGTGGCCTTCCAGTTCTGAAGGGGGCCTACAAGAAAGCTGGAGAGGGACTTTTTAGAAGGGCATGTAGGGGTAGGACAAGGGGTAATGGCTTTAAACTGAAAGCGGGTAGATTTAGATTAGATATAAGGAAGAAATTCTTCACTATGAGGGTGGTGAGGCACTGGAACAGGTTGCCCAGAGAAGCTGTGGATGCCCCATCCCTGGAAGTGTTCAAGGCCAGGCTGGATGGGGCTTTGAGCAACCTGGTCTTGTGGAAGGTGTCCCTGACCATGGCAGGGGGGTTGGAAGTAGATGATCTTTAAGGTCCCTTCCAACCCAAACCATTCTGTGATTCTCTGATATATTTACTCTTGGAAGTCTTGCTCATGCATAATGCTTTGATGCCTTACTGAAGTAACCATGGGATGGAGCGTTCTCTACCAGTATGTCATTTCTGCATTGGATCACAGCTACTTAGATTGACCAGTTGATGATATAAATAAGTCACATCTCTCAGTAATAACTTACGTCTCTCTAGTGATACTGAGAAAAAAAGTGTTTCTCTGTCCTTTAAGGTTTCTGTTGAGCAAAATGTTATAATAAAAGCACTGTGGAACGTCAGCCTTCCCAAACCAGAATGCAAATACTGAAGTAAATTTTTTTTAATTACCTGAGATTTTATTTTCTCCTAATGCAGATGCTTTTTTGATTATTAGCTACACTGCTTTTAGTCAGATGTGCCTTCTGACTGCTTCCCAAAATCTCACAAGTGAACATCTTTACTGCAAAGAGCTCACTGTGAGGTTCAGCAAATATCTGAGCAAATTGGAAACTTAGAGATCAAACAACTAAGACAATACAATGTAAGGAACACAAAACTGCAAAACTCTTGCAAGAATATTCCTGTCATTTTGGAGCACTTCCTTCCTTTTCACTCCTCATGTTTATATTTCTTTTAGCCTGTACATCTTGATAATGTACCTCTCGGTGCTCTGATTAACACTTGCACTGTGGGAGGAATTATTCCAAAATTTCCACATTTTACATAGCAAAGACAATTTATCTTACTGAGGGTAACAATAATTACAGGCAAATTGATCCCTATAAGGCTGCTCTGCTCTAATGCTCAATTTATAGGGACACACACCTGGAAGGAATTCTTAATCAACCAGTGTCAATTCCTCTGTTCTCACAGGGAACTATGTCACATAATACCTTCCATAAACTAACCGACAATCTGAATTCCAGTTTAAAGCCAAAACTATTTTCTTGGAAAAACTTCTAGAACCTCACTGTTCTGATGGATAGAAATCCTTTCTTAATTTTCAGCCTAATTATTCATTGCCAGCTTATACACCCTGGATTGGGGATGAGGGAAAGGGAGCCATTCTTTTTGCAGAAATAGTTCATGTTTATACTCACTGTTACATCTATGATGTACTTACAGAAAGCAATCATACACCCTTGCTAATATTATCATAATTTTGCTAGTTTCTGGTAAAATCAGCTCTGTACTTCTAGGATCATCCTCACTGCTCTTGCTTTGCATGCTGTTCCAGTCTGAATACAAGTATCCAGAGTCATACATAATATTTCAGTGGGACTATTACCTTGTCCAGTCATGGGACTATTCCCATCTCTCAATCGGAAATACCTTCCCAAAACATCTAAGAAACATAGCTCTATGTCTACAGCATATTCGTAGTGCTTAGTTTCACATCCAGATACTTCTCTTTCCTAATGGTTTTCAATGCCTAGTAGAAATGCTTACTACTGTACGGACGACCTTATACTTTGTGCTACTACAGTCTACTCCATCTTTAATACTCCAGTCATCCAGTCCTTCCCTATCATTATGCTTTCTTCTGTGACCCAGGAACATCTGAGTTAATGAAGCCTGATTTGGATTTAAATCTTATAGATGACTGTGAGCTGTTACACTTCATGCACTCATTAAGCTACAGCTTTTTTGTGAATACCCTGGTATTTAATAAAGACTGAACTCATGCTTTGTTCTTTTGAACAATAAGGACACTTCTAGGACTTCTCTATCTGGCTGCCAACTTCCATGAACGTTGAACTTTCATGAAAAAGGAAAAGGACTTATCTTTGAAACTTCTGTTAAGAAGCTAGTCCCATGTAGCCAATGACTATATGTGACTTGTTTCCATAGCAAGTTGAATACCAGATAAAATTGCTACCAAGCGCTGTCTGTGTAACTTCACTAAGAATCACATTTCAGCCACTGTCTCTTTTAACACCAACAGTCATCATCTCGTCTTTGTCCAGCTACTTGTACCAGTCCTTTTCTTTTGAACAAAATTAATAATTTTTCTTGTGGTGAATTTTCAATTCCTTCACTGAAGTATATAAAACTTCTGCTCAACTGCATTTGCTTCATACAGTGTCATATCTCTTATCAGAGAAAGATATCTGATTAGTCTGGCACAAACTGTCACTAAAAAAAGTAATAAAAGTTTCATTTTATCCTAGTCTCCACTTTCCTCCCCATCTTTAGTTATTCTTTCCTTGAAAGTGTATCTAAAGCTAATATATTCTGATTCGTTGATTTATTCTATTTGTTGTAAAAACTTGCATAGTGAGGACAACAGACTAACATGCTTACAATTGCCTAACGCCTTTTTTGGGATGAAATTTGCTCATTTTCAGTTACAAAGCAATTTGAAAAGCACATAGTCTAAGGACTGTGGATCTCTATAGAGGGAATTTAAGTGACCCCAGATGAGTTCATGAAGCCCTGGGAGGCTGCTTCACTGGGCAACCCTGCCTGAGGTTGCTGCACAACAGACACATTGTGGCTCTTCACGGTTAATACAGCCAGGCTTCCTCGGACAAACATTCCTCAGATATTTAATTCTACAGCTCCTCAGACTGAAACTTTTTTCAGACTGAAACTTTTTTCTTTGCCTGGCTCCCTGGTACAGGGAGGCTCTACTGGCCCAGCAAGCAGGAGAATATGAGCAGAGTGTGGACTCTGCCCCTCTTCTTCCTGTCTTGAGAGGTAGAGTGAAGGAGAGGAAGGCTGTTGATACAACTCACTCTGTAAAGCAAGCACTGAGCAGCAAGAGTGACCTCCTACCAAGTTACAAAGGATCTGAGACCCTCCCCAACCTGGGCACCAAACACAGTAGTGCCAGACTTGTTGTATCATGAACTGATGGGATGGACTGACACCCTAAGAATTTTTGGTTTAGAACATCCCAAACCTGGTTTGTTTGGGAAAGAAAAAAAAAAATTTTTTTTTTTTTTTTTTTTTTTAACTCTTACTGAAGCAATTTCTGCTCAGAGATTGGCCGTATTGATTGACCTGGCCTAGCGATACAAAAATCAAAGATGTTTTAGTTTTCTATTTTCACTTTACTTCATCTTCTTTATTGATCTATTCATCCAAAATGTAGTTGTTTTCAGACTGGGCTGCCCACAGTAAGTAAGCAGAAACCACGATCAGTATATCTGGTTGGCTGGTGCAAAACAGGTGGAATTGGCTATGTAACTTTGATTAAAATATCTCCGAAGCTTAACTGAAAAACTGAGGATACATTTCACATTTCAAATGTTACACAGTAGTTGAGAACAGTCTCTCAAGTATTTTGTAGTCATGTGCCTCACAGTGAAATTTGTCTATGGTAAATGTTCTTGCATTTTATCTGTTATGATTATAACCAGAAACCCATTTCCTTTTTTCTCCAGTAGTACAACAAAGCACATCTTACCTCAGTTAACATTATTAGGCCAATGAAGTATGACACAACGGAAAGGCCGAGAATCAACAGTTCTCTTCTGTAGCCCCTTCGGAAAATCTTTGGGTACATATCTACAACAGCTGTCACAAGACTTTCAACACACACGAACTGGAACAAATGATAGCAAAGTACAAATGAAATATGTCTCTCATCTGCTGTTGGGATTTGGATTTGCTACTACACACTTCAAATATCATTATATGTTTTCATCATAGAGACTGAACGATCCCTAAGGACACTATAAGCAGAAGCTCAAACTGAGAGGAACATCCTTTCAGAATTAAAAATTCCAAAGCTATGGATTTCCAGTCCACCAGCAAATTCAAATAGTTGAATCCACTAATATTATCTCAGAATGTGTTTGCCCTGTAGCAGATGGATTACATAAAAGTTAAATCTTTCAAATGTGGCCTGAATGGGACTTAAATAATGTACAAACTGTTCACAGGACTGCAGCAGAATTTCATTCTAAGCATCCTGCACTTTTGTCACTCGAAGGAGTGCTATGCATTGCTATGCACCTTCAAGCACTGCTAAATGAACTGCAGCAGGTTTTTTGTAGAAGTTCTCTCCATTTAACAGAAGAGAGAAGTTCCACAAAGCTATTAAGGGCCCAGGCCAAGTACATCTAATGAAGGAGGGAAGGAACATTCTTATTAACTTTAAAAATCAGCAGAAAGGAAGAGGCCCGAGCTTCTGACTCGAAGGACTCTGGAGCAAGGCTTCTAAAATAGGCACTGAAATTAATGCCCAAAAGTAGACAATATAAAGCCTGCTTCACTGGAACAGTCAAGAGTAGAATTCAGGAATTGCTCGTTTTAAAAAAGACTTTAAAAAAATTGTTAGATCAGGAAAAAGAGCAGTTATTAAAACTTTAATGACTGGAAATGTCATGCAAAATAAGCACTGAAGAGCTTTGTTCTACAGTATACAATCAAAAACTTTCTGAACCAAATCATGCCGAGAGCTGAGCCGCATGCTAAAAATGCCCGCTACTTTACATTTCTCATCAAAGTTTTCACAATTTTTATGGTCACATAGGAAGGACAACCTCTATGCTGTCACTTTGCTGCAGAATGTGACTACACATTTCTTGCTATGGTATCTTGAAGTATAAATACACCACAGGAACTTACATTATCACTATCTGATATTCAGTTTCAAAATTCATTGCAAAGTGCTTTAAAAACAGGAAAGGATGACACACTGGTATTTTACGGAACTGTGAATTTTAATCACCCATATTTAAGTTCAAACTGATTCCCATGTTAATAATGAAAGCTATAGTCAGGCTGAATCAGTGTTCACAGTAAATCATAAAGGAATCTCCAGCATCACATAACTAAGATTTAAAATAAGGAACTTGAATCAATGGTTTTAAGTAAGGAATTAAGTTAGGGTTCATTCTTTCATCAGGTTAGATGCTGTTTACGCCAAGGATGCTTATATGCACATGCTAGGGAATCTGACAAAATATTTAAATAGCATTTGTTTCATACCTGACTATCTAATCCAAGAAATATGAGCATCATGAAGAACAGAGTTGCCCACAGAGGAGAAAGAGGCATCATGGTAACAGCTTTAGGGTAAGCAATGAATGCAAGTCCTGGTCCTGAAAAGGAAGAAAAGAAAGGAAATAGTTATACTTGTGCACTGGGTCTGGCTGAGATGGGAGTTTACTTTCTTCATAACAGCCTGTGTGGTGCTGTGCTTTGGATTTGTGGATAGAACAGCATTGCTAACACCAACATTGGGGCTATAGCTGAGCAGTGCTTGCACAGCATCGCTTATTAAGCTGTCCCTATTTGGACCCAGGAGTTTCCTCACTTTTTCTCTTCCTGTTCCCTTCCACTGGGGTGGGCGAGTGAGTGAACAGCAGTGTGGATGCTTAGCTGCTGGCGAGGGTCAACCCACCACAACTTGATTGTTCTTCTATGCAGATAAGAGGAGCTAAATACAAGGCTGAAAACCTTGACAAACTCTACATCTCTAATAGTCTAAATATTTGGCGACGAGGCTAATCAGTAATGAAGACTTGCTTAGCACATCAACTCTGCCTACATCCTGTCCCAATGTTTGAAGGTCAAGACTTCTGTTAAGACATCACTGTACTTTACGTTCTCCTCCTTCTTTGTGTGGATGTACAGCAAGACTCGCATACCTGAGTAAATAATAGCGCGTGGTCCTGTGATTGCCTTATATAACTTATTAACATGTTCTGGAATCTTTTTTTTTTCCTAAGACAGCACTGTATCTGACATTTTGTGAAAGAATGCAGTCAATGGCAAGAGCTGCATCTTGGAAGCCATACACAGTGGAAGCCAAATGTCTACTGGTTTGTTCAAAATCTGCTCTGCATTTTTGAGTGCTGCTGCTGGTACATAACATTAATTCATTGCCTGCCTATTTACAGAAATCTTTAAAATAGAACATTTTTGCAACAGCATTGGTAACTTCTCAGATCTGCTAAAATACCATCTCACCTAGCTCGTATTTTGTTTACCTATGCCCATTTTTCAGCTGCTGCATACTCTCATGCTACAACAGCTTTTATTGAAGTTAGCCAGCTTTTAAAGCAGGGATATAAAAGCTGATAAAGGAGTACCTCTGTGCTCCTGCTGCAATAACTTCAGTGAAGACCTGTCATCATACTACTGCTTTTTCATTTAATGCAGTATTTGCAACCTCCTATAGTTTCCGGAGTTGCTGTAGTCTTTTAACCTTTTTCTGTATAGTTTCTATAAGCCAGTTGTCTTGAGGGCTTTAAGAAAAGAGAAATATTTTCCATGACAGTATCAGTGAAGCTCCACTTGCTTTGCAGTTTTCCTGCTCACCTTGGCTAACTTCATGAGAGTCATTTCTCCTCCTCAACAGTTCAGCATTGTACTGCTTTTCTTTCTGGGGAGCATTCCTGTCCTTTTTGTTCTGTTGAGTTTTAAGTGATGCTTAAAGATGTTACATCCACAAAGGTGTTACGAGAGCAATTAACTTTCATTGGATGCCTACCTCCAAGTGATGGTGATGAACATTAGATGGTTAATTTCTCGTAGAGCTGGGCCTTTGTGCCTTTCTGGACTCAAAACAAGAACTTTTATACTTAATCAACCAGACTGTCTCAGTGTATGTCCCTGGGCGGAAAAACTTACTGACACTAGGAGATGGCATTAGCCATCCGACTGTTAAAAATCTGTATTTGGATATATACTATCCAAATACATTTAAGATACATATTTGGATATATATAAAAATATATA